CAGTTGCCCGAGTCGTCACTGTATCGAACCGCAACAGCAACAGAAAAACAGTTATTAACTGTGTCTCTTCATATTCCTTGTACTCTTATAAAACCTTGTATCTTCTTGTTTCAATCAATCTACTTTGCCCTCACATACCAGCGCAAGGTGGTTCACAGACTCATCATTAAACGCTTCTGCTATTACATTGTTCCTACTCAGAGTTTAGTCCTGCAAATATCCTAAGGGTTTTTTTTCAGCCCAACATGGTATGAGAGCTATCAGGGCAAAGTCAACTACTATCAAGACACCTACAAAATCAGAAGGCATGGCAACACAGGAGGAGAGGAGTTCCTCTAACGGTTCTCCCGGTACTACTCCTACTCCACCTCCTGCCTCTGGCCTACAGACAGAGGAGGGCACGGCAACAAGACCAGCAGCTGGGTCCACCGAAACTCCCGCAAATCAAGCCGCGGGCTTCGACCCAAGCATGGTGGAGAAGTTCTTCTCCTTCATGTCCTTCTACGAACAACACTAGCAAGGGGCACCTGCGCAGTCAAACAACAGCAACAACAACAACGATGTGACACCGATGAGCCTCGATGGTTCATCCTACACGCGAGGAAATCAGCAACAACAACCTACCTTCGCCCCGTACGAACCCCAGCGCGGTTCCGTCAGTTTCATGCCGCGCCAGCAGCCTTCACCTGAGCAAGAGAAGACATTGGATGCACTTCAAGTTCAGTCGCAATTTGCGCACGTCGTAAAATTGCAGACATCAAGACCGTTCGACGGAAAAGACTTCTTCACCTGGTCGTTCGAATTCGAGCTAATGATGGAAGGCGCGCAGATTATTGGCTTCTTCGACGGGTCCCTGCCATATCCAACGCACGGGACGCAATACGACAAGCAGCACTACACATATCAGTCCATGATGGCGTACACAATCCTATTGCGCAACGTCACACCGAACCAGCAGCAGAACATTCGGTCTTACCGGGGATACGGGAACTCTGCCGAGCTTGCGTACAACCACCTGAAGAACCTGTATCAGGCAACAGACAGCGTCAATCAGAGTCGGTTAATGGCACAACCGACAACAGTGGAAATGAAACCGGGCGAAAAGGGGATGGCGTATATCAGTCGCTGTCGCGAATTGCGCGACAAGCTCCTCCGATGCGGAGGGTCGATATCGGAAGACGCCTTCGTCACAGTCGTCATTGGCGGTCTTGCTCCTCATTGGCGCTCCACTCGCGCCATACTCCGAGCTCACGGGAGGATCTCCAAAGCAGCACTCTGCGCCGAAATTCACGCTGAGCAGCAAGACATGGACCTGCAAGAGGAGCGGCACAAGAAGAAAACGTCAGTACCAGAATTTGCGTTCCACACTCAATGACGCTACAACAACAAGAACCGGCATCAACCGAAACCCGTACCTCCTTTCTGTCATCTCTGCAAGACTTCAGGGCACCCTCGCACACACTGCCCGAATCGACAGCAGTCAACGCCACCGCAACGCCAACTTCGTCCCTCAAGCAGTCAAGTGGCGTCCACACAAGCGAACCCCACGAGTCAACTGCAGCCCTCAACAACATCGTCAACACAATCTGCACAAGGAGCAAGAAACATCGTCAGCTGCATGGCAAGATTGATTGACTCCTGCATCACCGAGTCACCACCACATTACTCACCGGACGAGCAACTCGACAACAGCACCCCTCGCCGCGAGTCACTTCAACCGAACCCGACGTATGCAGCCATCGCTCAAAGTGAACCGTCCGGGAAAGACACTTGGTTCTTGGACAGTTGCTGCGGGCAGCATATGTGTTCCTCGGGTCGCTTCGTTCAACGCGAACACCAACTTCAGCGCGAAGTCGTCATCACCGTCGCCAACAATCAGAACCCGCGCACACGACGACAGGGCGTAGTGCAACTTCAGTCACGAGAGACAAACGTCATACTGCAAATGTCAAAGGTTTTAATTGCGGAGGGACTCGGCTACAACTTACTGAGTGTCAGTCAGCTGATGGCGAAAGGTATTCACCTCGAAGCAGACAGCACAACACAGGAGTTCAAGTTGTACCACGGAAAAGGAGGCCTCTACATCGGCAAGGCCATGCTGAAGAACAACGTGTTCGTCCTCGAAACTGGCCCAGATTTAGGCACCGCCGACAGCGACGTAATCGTCACCTTCACCTCCTGGACGCACCCACCGGATCTTGATCCTGACTTCAGCCCCGAAGGATTATGGTATTCGCACTCTATTCCTGAGGCAGAACGAACAAGCACATTAGCAACAATTCAATCGGTAGCAGCAGAGACAACATCGGCAGCAGCAGAGACAACATCGGCACCAATCGCGGGTCCTTCAACAGTACCAATCTTCATCGACGACACACCACCGACTCCTGCGCAGCAGCTGAATCCAACTCCACGAGAAGTTCATCGAAGTGCAAATCTCACCGCCGGTTTTTACTCCAACTCCGACCTGTACAGACGCTCACCCTGACATCGCGCTGACGAAGATCTCTGGCATAAATGAATGGGACATCCAAGCAACACGACGTTAAACAACACGATACGAGTAGGCGTTCTTGATAAAGACTCACTACTATTACCCGACGGCAGAGAACTTCGACGAACGCGAGGAACTTGCTTCAACGTGCTGGAAGAGGCGAAACTGGCCCAGTTACCCAGCTTCTCTCTATTCTGCGACAACCAGTCTGCAATTCGCATCGAGAACAAAAACGGATTCGCGAACAGGACGAAGCACATCGCCCTGCGATATTTCTTCGTGAAGGACGAGATCGAGAAGGGCAGACTCGAGCTGTCTTACTGCCCCACGTCTGAGATGGCAACTGATTACTTGACCAAGAAGCTCGGAAAGCAGAAGTTCGAGTACTGCATGCTGCTGACTGGACAAGGCCACGTCACCAGCAACGACACTCCAGAAGCGAAGGGGAGTGTTGGAAACAAGTGATTTAAGCGCCTCTGTCGTGTCGAAGCACTAAGTCATAAACGAAGCGAAATACAGTGAAGCATCGGCGAGTCAACACTTGGAGGTTGAGAAGTGAAGAAACCGCTGGAGGTTACGCGAAAGTCAAAGGTCAGCGACCTTTGACCTGGCAAGTACAGCGCGACAGCAAGGACAAACAACTGACTCGTTATTGAGCAGTTGCCCGAGTCGTCACTGTAACGAACCGCAACAGCAACAGAAAAACAGTTATTAACTGTGTCTCTTCATATTCCTTGTACTCTTATAAAACCTTGTATCTTCTTGTTTCAATCAATCTACTTTGCCCTCACATACCAGCACAAGGTGGTTCACAAACTCATCATTAAACGCTTCCGCTATTACATTGTTCCTACTCAGAGTTTAGTCCTGCAAAGATCCTAAGGGTTTTTTTTCAGCCCAACACGAGAAAATAAATACGGTACCCACAACGTCTCTCCATGTAGAGATAGAAGTGACCAAAGTCAATGCCACGTGGTTCACTACTAAATGGGGGAAAGTAAATATTGCTGCAGCAAATACACCGTATCATATGCCATGTACGTTACAAGAACAAAATAACAAATAACCAAGTAGGTATAGTCAGCAAACCACTATCAGGCAAAGCAGATCTAAATGCTCCAATCAGGGAACGCCCCACCAGTGAGCTAGGAGGACATGTCCAGAGAGCACAATCAACAAGGGGCCAGGGGAAGTGTTAAATAGTGCTACTGCCAGCGGGACCACACCTGCACCAGTGCCCTACGGTAGCGGACTCTCACCCCCGAAATAGGTGCAGTTCCACCAGTACTTGTAGCTGGAATAAGTACATCTCCTGGGGCTCTGAGACCAACAGCTGCTTGAGGTCTGGCAGGCGACCCCGCTGCCACATGGTAACCGCGCGCAGCAAAAGCAGTTGTTGTAACAGAGATTGTAGTTGTTGGTCTGCGTGGCCGTCGTCCCTCCCAGCGTGAGCTTCGTCGCAGTGCAGACGTTCTCACATGTCGTCGTGACAAACGCGCAGCACTTGCCGACCTCCTCACCAACCATCTGAGAGCAATCAGCGTCGAGCGGCTTCCAGGCTGGGTATGGGCACGTTGTCCAGGTGCATCCGTATCCGGCGAGCGGCGCAACCCCGGCGCGATTCGTGCATGCGGCGTTGCACCCCGTACACACCCCGTCTTGCACCACCGGCATGGCGTAGTTGCAAACCGCGTCGCAGTATGACGGGTACGTGACGAAATCCGCGCCGCACACCGGGAGGGACTCAGCGCACCCGCAGTCGAGAATCCCGACGCGGGAGTCGCAGGGAATGATCAGCGTCTGGTTGACAAAGAGAGGTGAGGTCTCGAGGATGTTGTTTTGGGCGGCGATGTTGATGGGGGAGACTGAGACGGTGGTGCAGCGGGTGACGAATTTTGAGGAGATGAGAGCAAGTGTGTCGCCTTCTTGGACGGTGTAAATAGAGTAGCTTGTGTTGGTCTGAACCATGAGGGTTGCGAGCAGCGGCGATTTGATGCAGACCTTCTGGCCGACTTGCAGATACGGGGCTTGGCACTGGTGGGACAAGGGGGCCGGGGGGAATGAACAAGAGAATGGGATTAAGCAGCAGATCCGGTGGGATGATTTTGGCCAATGAAGGTTGATGGAAAGAAGTTAGGAGGAAGGAAAAGAGCATGCTCCTTGCAACAGGGGAGACAAGATTCACCCTTACCCTGATGCCGGGGTTGATGGCGAGGAAAAGGGGTTCAGTGAGGTTGGCTGCGTTCCAGATGTTGGGGCAGTTGTCGCCCTGCAGAACCGTGTACCATGAGGTGCAATTCACCGTGGTCTGCGAGAGGGGGAAGGAGGGAGGGGGGGAAAGAGGATAAGGGTGGAAGGGCAAATGGTAAGGAATTAAGGATGGAGAAACCAAATCAAAGGGTGTGGAGGGGTAGGAGAAGGTGGGCGTTAAAAGGCGATACATCAGAGAAACCCTTGCAGGGTCTTGACCGTGAATTTGCAAGCACAATGTGAGGAGGGTGTTTACCAGAGAGGTCTTGGGTGCAACGCAGAGGTAGAGTCCGATCTTGAGGGCAGAGTCGCAGGACAGCGCTGGGTTGAGGCTGATAGGGGAGTAAAAGAGGGGGAAGATGAGAGACAGAACGTGAGGTAGGGGCGGGTGAGGCGGCGACTTGCAGAAATCAAATGGGCAGAATTTTTTTTTAGCCGACGTGCTACAGCCTACAGCATTAAGAGATGCCTGTGTATTACAGAGAACGGCATGGGTAGTAAATCTGTATACACATACAACCGTCTTGAAATTGCAAAACTAATAGATTCTCTACTCGTGCACCCACAGAAGTGTACCTCATGAAAGTGCTGAGCGCGATGTTGTATTTGGTGGCGATCGCGTCGCACGTGTCTCCAACCACTGACGTGTACGTCTGGCCGCACTGCGGCACGGTGATCTGTAGAGTTTTCCGGGTTGGAAAGGGACGAATGAGGTGAATCAAGCAGCCAATCCGAATCGTGTATGGAGATTTACCAACGCTGACATGTACATTTGGGTGCACTGAGGACAGCCATACATCGATCGAAGGTAAAAGGTAGTGGTGGGTGGGGGGAGGCTTTCCAGGCAATAATAGGTGGAAATTTCACACCAATCAAATCGGAAGAATGCGATTCTCCATCTGTTCCCGCGGAGACATGCAATGCAATACGAAATGCACAGACGTCCAACCGGGGTGGCCTTGTCGAAATTTCTGCTGGGTCAACCTTGTCGGCGAATTACCTGGGGTATTGGCGAGCGGGGGGGGGGGGGGGGGTGGAGGGGGATGGGGATTACCTGGGGGGTGGGCGAGCGGGGGAATCACCTTGCGTATGGGCGAGCAGGGGTGGGGGAATTACCTGGGGGGTGGACGAGGTGGTGCTGATGCAGATCTGCTGCAGCGGCAGCAGCGACGAGCGGCCAGTCGAGCAGATGAGGGGGTTTGCGGTGGTCAGCGCGGCCACATCGCCGTTGAAGTAGGTGTTGGCGATGTTCTGACACGTGTCCCCGGTCTGCACTGTGTACGTGGATGTGCACACCATGGTGCTCGTGCTGGCGCTGGCGGACATGTTGGATACGAGCAGCACCATGCCTGGCGGGGGGAAAGGGGACGGGGAAGGGGATGGGGAAGGGGACGGGGATGGGGACGGGGAAGGGGACGGGGAAGGGGACGGGGATGGGGACGGGATGGGGGAAGAGAGGGGACAAAAAGAGGCTTTGATATGGATGTGCGATGTGCACACCATGGTGCTCGTGCTGGCACTGGCGGACGTGTTGGATACGAGCAGCACCATGCCTGGAGGGGGAAACGGAGTGGGGGAGAGGAGGGAGAGAAGGGGGAGGGGGAGGGGGAGTGGGGGAGGGGGAGATGGGGGAGGATGTTGTGAAGGGAAGAGCGGAAGGATGTTCCGACACGTGGTGTGGGAGAGGAGAGGGCGGTAGGGGGGTCAAGGCGAGGAGAAGCGCAGCCAAATACCAGGGATTATGAGTAACTAGTACGGGGAGTGGGGTCGGGTGGGGGGAAGGTGGGCGAAGGAATGCAAGCAGGGAGGAACACGTACCAGGGGCGATAAAAGAAAAGCTAGTGAGCCGTCGAGGAACGGGTTTACTTTAGAGTCAGACCCAAGAGCCACCTTTCAAGTCAACTCAGTGGTTACACTCACCAGGGGCGATGAAGGCGAGCGAGCAGTCGAGGAACGGGTTGAGGTCGGCGAGAGCGACGACGGAGGTCTTGTACGCGCTCGCGACCACGGTGCACGAGTCGCCGGGCACGGTGGTGTACGTCTGCCCCACGGCCGCCGTCGTGCCCACGCCCACGCAGGTAATGGTGCCGTCTGATGCTGTTCCGATGGCGTAGCCCTGTGGAAAGGGGGAGGAGGAAGGAAGAAGGTAAGAGGGGGGGCGGGGAGGAGGAAGGAAGAAGGTAAGAGGGGGGGGGGGGGGGGGGAGGAGGAGGGGGGGAGGTTGGAGGGGGAGATGTGTGGGTGGAACGAGGGAGAGGAAGATGTAAGAGTCGCTAGATGTACCTGCGTGGCTGTGCCCCTCACAGCAGCAACACGAAGGACCGCTTGGGGAAGGTTGTAATTGGCACGCACATGTTTTCAGGTGACCGTTTACGAAAAAACGCTCTCAATATAAGTTACTCGATAATTGTCGCTTACCGCAGGGCACTGGCACGTGTACGTCCCGTCGCCGGGATTCCGGCACACGCCGCTCCCGCAGGGATTGAACAGCTCGCGGCTCGTGCACGGGTAGCGCGGCACGCACTTGGCCGTGGGCGTGGATAGCACCTCGACCATGTTCGCCAGGCCTCGGCAGTCGCAGCGCGCGATCCCGCGCAGCGTGTAGCAGCGGCCGCCGCCGCACGGGTTGATGAGATTCGCGCACGCGTCGACGGGGCCGTTGTAGCCGCGCGACCACCACTTGCCGTCGTATCCGTCGTCCTGACGGCGGTACGGCCCGTTGGCGATCTTGACGGGCTCGGGTCCCGCGTAGTACACCGGGTACATGGCGGGGATGCTGGGGGGGGGAGGGGGAAGATAGAAGGAGCGGGAATAGGGAGATGGGAGCGGGAGCGGGAGCGGGGAAGGAATGTTGTGAGGCGCGTCAAATGACGGGTTCGAAGCGGCAAACTCAATAAAATACAGTAAAAGAATGCTGGGGGATGAAAAGGGTTTGAATGGGAGGGGTGAGCGGGGGAAGGTGGGGAAGTAGCAGCGCGGGGAAGAACGAGAGAGAATGGGCAAGCCCGCGTTTCCCGCGTCGACCGCGAGCGACTTACGCGTGCAGCCCGCATTTCCCGCGAACGTCGGGCGTCATTGCGAGGTACATATAGCCCCCGTCGCCCCACGTGTTGAACCACGAGTTCTTCAAAATCCAATAGCTGCCGTCCAATCCCGGCCCGGTGTAGTTATACCCGACCACCAACACCGCGTGGTTGATATCCGTCGTGCACGTGCCGTCGTAGATCTTAACCGTCCCGCGCGACGAGTAGTACTGGAAATCGTTAGCGTTGCCGGACAGAAACGCGACGGTTGGCTGCATGCTGACGGCCTTCATGAGCGCCATGGCGTTGTACGGCGGGACCAGCTCCCACCCCGTAATCTTCGCCGCGAGAGGCGTCGACGCGTTCGCATTACAGACGACGCTGTCTTCTGCGAGGTAGGGATACTCGTCGACAGAAGCGATGCCGCCATTAAAGAGGATGTAAGAGAAGGCCCAGTCGGGCCAGCCGCCCTTGCAGCACTGCTTCGTCGCGCAGTCGCACACCTGCTGCGGCGACAGCAGCTGCGGCGTGGTGTTGTTGATGATCGCCCACATCATCGAGATGGAATCGACGGCCACGATCGTCCAGCAGCTCCCGCACTGCGCGCGCCGAACCATCAATACAATGGGGAAAAGACGTGAGAGAAGAGTGAATGAGAAACGGGGAGGGGGTGGGAACGGAGACGACTAGAGTCGGCCTTGGGAGAGCGGAGGGAGGGAAGGGAGGAGGGAGACAAGAAGGAGACGAGCTATGGTAGAGGTTGAGTGGAATAAGTTAAGGACGAAAACTAACACAATGTCGGTTGAAGACAAGTCGCTTAGACTCGATATAAGCACACAAACACAGACGCACGAACCTGGTATTGTCGCTGTATCGGCGAGATGTACATGGTCTGACGCCAATCCACAAACGCGTTAGGCGTTACCGAGTCCCACCGGAAGAAGGTGTTATTCACATCCGCCATACTCGGCCCTGAGTTCAAAAGCGGAGGCTTCAAACCGAGCTTTTTCGCGGCGCGCCCCAGCTTGCGACGGTGACCTTCGCCGCTATCGTTATCACTTTCTTCGCCGGCTTCGCCGTCGCTAACGTCGTCCTCCTCGTCGTGAACGAGTAGCATCTGTTCGCTCAGCCGCGCGGCGTGCAGCCTGGCCCTGGCGTCTGGGCTCAACGCGGCGGTTTCCGCCATGGCCTGCTCGAACCGCGTCGGCAGCGGCTTCGGCGGCGCGAGATCCGCTTCCGGGAGATCTGATACTGCTGCCGCCAGACCCGCTAAGCATGCCACCAGTATTGCTATATGTATTAACGACGGGGAAACGCAGCGCCGTAGTAACTCCATATTAGACGATTGGTATATCGCTTAGTACAGTCTTTGGAGTTCACAATGTATGAATTTGGAGAACAGTCAGTGGGGAATTGTAGCCAATGAAGCTTGAGTGGCGGAAGTTTAACAGATTTGCTGGTTAGCGAAAGGAAAGTAGGCTCAGAACGAAAGGCGATACGGCGGCGTTGTCTGATTGAGTTGTCGATGTCGTTAGGGATGAACGGCCGTTCAGGCGCGACGGATGCTGTCTAAGGATGGAAGCAGCAGCTTGGTACGTCACGACCTTACTCACTCCACGAATGTTATAGCCTTCACAATGCAGGACGCGACGTGGTTGCGAATCATGTTCTGCGGTTATCAAGCCTTATCTGGACGAAATGCACTGTGAGCTAAGGATGCTCCCGTGTTTTACTGTACGAACACTCTTTTCGTCCTGCTGCTGTGTTGTGGCAGTTGTGCTGGCAGGTTGGTAGGTAGGGTTAGCTGGCGCCTACACAGGATGTGCAGTACGAGGCATTCCTCAAGCCTGTATCGAAAGTTTAGTAGTACCAACGACTCAAATATAATACGAGAGACTGCCAGATGTCACGGTTACCAACCCCGTCAACATGCGATTCGGGCAGACGTATTGCAAGTTACCATGAAACGGTCGAAGCGAACACCGCACTACACTCGCCCCAGTTTGACAACAGTTTCGTAGTCGCTGTCTCACACAATTCAGATTTCATTCATGATTGAAAGAGATTTGGATACAAATAATTCTGATGCGAGATTGGTGTAGATTGGTGTAGCTGTCTTGCTGCTTGTACTGTATTCTTTGGCCCTGCCGCACGGGTGTTTCGGGCAATACACCTGCAGCTGCAAGGGCCCTTCTTGGGTTGTGGAAAAATAAAACACCACCCCCACTTTTCCGTCCTTCTCCACCCCAACTCGTATTCATGCCCTTGATGTGTGTGTGACTAGGTGTGACCTCACAAAGTGGTGCTGTGCTTTTCCCAACTTTTAACAACCATTGTATGACTAGTATAGCCTGGTTCAAGTCTAGCGAGCACCATACCGGTTGGGAAATTGAGTAAGTTTTCCAAGGGGGAAACACACAGCTGCCATTGCTGGTGGCGACTGCACTGTTATGTGCCCGCCGCGCAGGTGGCAGGGGCAGATCCAGCACCAAATACCCTCGAGCGATACTGTTCAGCATGTGTTGTCGTCTTCAGGAACCATTTGACATGTTCTCTGACAGAACCTTATTTTCTTACCTTTGGAGACTCATCGAAACTCTCAAACGAACGTACAATAAATAAAGGAGTGTAGTCTGACAGGGAGTGTACTGCAACTGCCAAGCGTTCATGTCGACAAGCGAATTCCCCCAACCCCCCATTCTTCAAGATAGTATCGAAAAACAATAACTGCCCACGACTCTGTCAGCTACTTTGTCCGCCACTGCATGACCCAGAAATCAGTTGGTAAGAAGTAACACCAGAAATACACTTTCGATACACGTCAACGTCCTCTTTATTCACAAATCTGTAAACATTATGCATAAACAATGCAAAATTTTATACAGCATGTAATACAAGGCTCAGGGAGAGGTATCAAAAGGAAAAGAGGGGGAAGAGAAAGATATGAATAGAAAGGGTAGGGAGAAGGAAAGTGAAAAGGGGAAAAAGAATCATGGGAAGTTGAGAGGAAAGGGACAAGGAAAGGGAAAGGTAAAGTGCACCCCCAAAAGACTCTAAAAATAATAATGAGAGTCAAAATGTTCTGAGCTGTATACAACATAACGTGTACATAAATCAAAATCCTGTAGTGATTACTGTTGGGCTGAGAAAAGCCCTTAGGATCTTTGCAGGACTAAATTCTGAGTAGGACAATGTAATAGCGGAAGCGTTTCAATGAGAAGTTTGTGAACCACCTTGCGCTGGTATGTGAGGGCAAAGTAGATTAATTAAGACAAAGAGATACAAGCTTTTTATAAGAGTACAAGGAATACGAAGAGATACGGTTAATAACCGTTTTACTATTGCTGTTGCGGTTCGATACAGTGACGACTCGGGCAACTGCTCAATAGCGAGTCAGTTGTTTGTCCTTGCTGTCGCGCTGTACTTGTCAGGTCAAAGGTCACTGACCTTTGACTTTCGCGTAACCTCCAGCAGTTGTTCAACCTCCGAGGGTTGACTCGCTAATGCTTCGATATGTTTCGCTTCGCTTCTGACTTGGTGTTTCGACACGACAGAGGCGCTAAATCAATTGTTTCCAACAATTACAGCGCCCTATCATACAATTGAGGATTAAGGAAATTATAGTGAGGGACTTCTAGCTAATAAGTTGAGGTTGGGCACTGATCTAAGTACGCAAGGTCAAGTCTGGAAGCCTACTCTTCAGGGAGTAACCAATTGTTGTATAGGAGAGCTATACTTATATGGCAATGAAGTGTCTATTTAAACACCCTAATTTGGATGTACAAGTGTCAAATATACTTTAACTTGCCTCAAATTCTTGAGTTTCAGCAACCGTGAAGCCCAAAATTCAATGGCTGAGTACAGATATCAGCGGCAACCGTATTTACCACGATACCTTGACTCCTCCATCACTACCCGCATCACGACCCCGTGCACCCTCACCACCCACCAAACCCTCTCCAACCACTTCCAACTCCTCCTTTTGCCCAAACAACTTCTCATAAGCAGTCTCCTGGGGAATACCCTCGCCTTCATCCTTAACCGCCCTCTTCTCCAACCCTTCGAGGAACTCCATAGTGAGTACGTCCGGCCAAGGGGCCCCGAAAGGAGCCTCGGGACCCGCCACCCAGCCCAGATGGCCCCCGTGGGATGTTCCGACAAGCATGACGAGGGGGTTTTGCTGGAAGATGCGAGGAAAATAGCAAGTGGATGAAAGTGCATTTGTAGATGAGAACAGAAGCTTGACACGTCCGTGAGGTCCCACGGGTCCTTTTGGGAATTCTCAAAAGTACCATCAACGGGTCTTGAGTTCCAGCTTGACACGGCTCAAACCAGATGGACCCCCTCCCCCCATGGGATGTGCGGACAAGCATGGGGAGGGGATGTTCCGGGAAAACGAGGAAAGAGAGTGGATTAGAAGACGATTGTAGCTAGGAACAGAAGTTTGAGACTTTTCAGAACCAGACGGCCCCCAATGCAGTGGAACCACAACGCGGTGAGGTGAGCACCCAAGGCTCTCATACAGACAACTTACAAAACAACTTACACCCCCAATGTCATTACATGCTCATCACATGACATGACACGACATGACATGACATGGCATGACATGACATACAATGTAATCACACCACATCACAAGTACCAATGTCAAAGTGCACATGGCACGGTACCTCGATAGCCTCATACGGAATGCCATCCGCAGGTGCGATGGGATCATCCAAAGCCTGGTGGCGGAGAAGGCACAGAGAGGAGTAGCGGGGCATCGGCGGATGAATGACGGGGATAGTACAAAGCTTGCAAGGGTTGAGCAAGAAGCAAACACGAAGCATTGCCAAGCATGACTTATTCTGAGGCCCTTCCTGCCTAACTTAAGACTTGAGTTAATCTTAGAGTCATGAACAACGACCTGTGGGACAATGCCATTCTCTAAGACCCTAAAAGATGTCTGAGAATGACTTGCTGAAGACACTTTCTTTCGACTCTTTTTTTTTTCCTTCTTCTGGAAGACCAGAGGGAAACAGGCACAATATTGTGTACGAGTAAATTACCTGGACGCACAGCAGAGGCAAGCGCACGTCCTTGATACTTCGGCTGCTGCTGGCGTCACTGTAATATGCGTCCACTGAGGGATAGCCGAATGAGACTGAGGAGGAGCGGTGGGATAGGAGAGACGAGAGGAGAGAGGTTTTGGGATGACCTCTGAGGTGCATCGGAAGCTGCTGGCATTGCAATAACAGGCGTCTACTGAGGGGCACCCTAAAGGAATGAGAGCGATGAAAAGGAGGCACACAAACCCGCCTCTTCTATGCCCCGCTGTTGTAGGCCTCTTGTGCTCACCACCCACCCCACCCCACCCCACGCACCTCGTGTGAGCCCCACGTCAAAGTCGCGCGCGGTCTTGGCCCGTGCTACAAGCTCTATGCCTCACGTCTGTAAGCCTCAGACCGGTAAACCCCCTACGCCACTCTAATCTTGTTCCCAACTCCCACCCCACCCCACGCACCTCGTGTGAGCCCCACGTCAAAGTCACGCACGGTCTTGGCCCGTGCTACAAGCTCTATGTCATACTCGCCGCCTAGCCCCTCAAACAGAGGCGCGTGGCTGGTGGGATCAGAACGGGGAGGGAGAGGGGAGAGAGAGGGATTGCGAGTTGCCTCATACGTCTCGGCCCGTGCAACGAGGTCTATGTCGCTGGTCGAAGGAGAGAGGGGAGATGGAGGGAAGGGGAAGAAAAAGGCGTTTTGAGTCGCCTCGTGGGTCTCGGCCTGTGCTATGAGGTCTATGTCATACTCTCCGCCTAGTCCCTCAAACAGGGGGGCATGGCTGGTGGGAGGAGAGGAGAGAGAAGGGGGGGTAGAGAGAGTATAGGGAGAGGAGAAAGGGAATGGTGGGAGGGGGGGAGAGAAGAGGGGGGAGAGTATACGACAAGAGGGGTGTTGAAAAAGAGGGGTGTACAACAAGTGGTTTGTACAACAAGATGGGTGTACAACAAGATGGGTGTACAACACAGGTGCAGAGCACGTACTTGGCGTAAATACCCCTGAGAGTCGATCCCAGCCGTTGATCATAGAAGTTGTTGAATCCGATGTGGAAGTTCCAATCAGCCAGCACGAGGTCGAAGGGGTTGCAGAGAGACACGGCTCCTGACAGAGGCACCCCCTCGCCCTCCTGCCGTGATAGAGGGGCCGCGCGGATGGGTGTACAGACAGAGGGAGAGATGGGTACATGGAGGGAGAAATGGGTGCATGGAGGGAGAAATGGGTGCATGGAGGGAGAGAATGAATGAGCCAGCACCAGGTCGAAGGGGTTGCACAGAGACACGGCTCCTGATAGAGGCAACTCCTCTCCTTCCTGTAAAGAAAGATCAGTGATGGGCGCATGGAGGGGCAGATGGGCGCATGGAAGGGCAGATGGGCGCATGGAAGGTTAAGACAGGGCAATAGTGGTGGTGGGGGCGGGGAAGGGCGACAAGGCATATGGGGTTTCTTGAGGCAGCACGAGGTGGGAGGGGTGGCAGAGAGACACGGCTCCTGACAGCAGCACCTCCTCTTGCTCCTGATAGAGGCAACTCCTCTTGCTCCTGATAGAGGCACCTTTTGTTTTGTGATTGTCGCAGGGAGTGGAGGGCAGTGATGGTCAGTGATGGTCGTAGGGAGGGCGGTGATGGTGGAATGAAGGGGGCAGGTGGGAGCAAGGATGGTGAAGACAGGACAATGGAGATGGTAGAGCGTGACGGACGGCATGAATGTGGAAGGAAGTTCCTATCAGGCAGCACGAGGTCCAAGGGGTTGCACAGAGACACGGCTCCCAATAGAGGCACCTCCGCGCCCCCCCTCTGAGAAAGCGTTATTAGCGGGTGGGCTCGGCGTGTAGTGAGTCGAGTTTTGAGTCGACTCAAACACCTCACTACGCACAGAGGCACCTCCTCGCCCTCCTGTGAGGACGCGTTATTAGCGGGTGGGCTCAGGAAGAGTCAAGACAGTTGGGCTGGGGGCAGGAAGAACGGCAGGGCGTGTTAAAACACTTGTTTTATCACGTGAGGCGAGAGCGGTGGGTGGGAGTTCACATTCACATGGGACAGGCCCTGCCCTGTTCACATTCACATGGGACAGGCCCTGCCCTGTTCACATTCCCATGGGACAGGCCCTGCCCTGTTCACATCCCTCCTCGGTCTCATCACTTACTTGCTTGCACCAGCCAGCCCCGCCTGGGCGAGGCAGCACGTGTACGAACAAGTGCTTTGAGACGTACGGACGTAGGGACGTAGAAGGGTTCTCAAAACACTTGTTCATACACAGCCCCGCCTGGGCGAGGCAGCACGTGTACGAACAAGTGCTTTGAGACGTACGGACGTAGGGACGTAGAAGGGTTCTCAAAACACTTGTTCATACACAGCCCCGCCTGGGCGAGGCAGCACGTGTACGAACAAGTGCTTTTAGACGTACGGACGTAGGGACGTAGAAGGGTTCTCAAAACACTTGTTCATACACAGCCCCGCCTGGGCGAGGCAGCACGTGTACGAACAAGTGCTTTGAGACGTACGGACGTAGGGACGTAGAAGGGTTCTCAAAACACTTGTTCATACACAGCCCCGCCTGGGCGAGGCAGCACGTGTACGAACAAGTGCTTTGAGACGTACGGACGTAGGGACGTAGAAGGGTTCTCAAAACACTTGTTCATACACAGCCCCGCCTGGGCGAGGCAGCACGTGTACGAACAAGTGCTTTGAGACGTACGGACGTAGGGACGTAGAAGGGTTCTCAAAACACTTGTTCATACACAGCCCCGCCTGGGCGAGGCAGCACGTGTACGAACAAGTGCTTTGAGACGTACGGACGTAGGGACGTAGAAGGGTTCTCAAAACATTTGTTCATACACAGCCCCGCCTGGGCGAGGCAGCACGTGTACGAACAAGTGCTTTGAGACGTACGGACGTAGGGACGTAGAAGGGTTCTCAAAACACTTGTTCATACACAGCCCCGCCTGGGCGAGGCAGCACGTGTACGAACAAGTGCTTTGAGACGTACGGACGTAGGGACGTAGAAGGGTTCTCAAAACACTTGTTCATACACAGCCCCGCCTGGGCGAGGCAGCACGTGTACGAACAAGTGCTTTGAGACGTACGGACGTAGGGACGTAGAAGGGTTCTCAAAACACTTGTTCATACACAGCCCCGCCTGGGCGAGGCAGCACGTGTACGAACAAGTGCTTTGAGACGTACGGACGTAGGGACGTAGAAGGGTTCTCAAAACACTTGTTCATACACAGCCCCGCCTGGGCGAGGCAGCACGTGTACGAACAAGTGCTTTGAGACGTACGGACGTAGGGACGTAGAAGGGTTCTCAAAACACTTGTTCATACACAGCCCCGCCTGGGCGAGGCAGCACGTGTACGAACAAGTGCTTTGAGACGTACGGACGTAGGGACGTAGAAGGGTTCTCAAAACACTTGTTCATACACAGCCCCGCCTGGGCGAGGCAGCACGTGTACGAACAAGTGCTTTGAGACGTACGGACGTAGGGACGTAGAAGGGTTCTCAAAACACTTGTTCATACACAGCCCCGCCTGGGCGAGGCAGCACGTGTACGAACAAGTGCTTTGAGACGTACGGACGTAGGGACGTAGAAGGGTTCTCAAAACACTTGTTCATACACAGCCCCGCCTGGGCGAGGCAGCACGTGTACGAACAAGTGCTTTGAGACGTACGGACGTAGGGACGTAGAAGGGTTCTCAAAACACTTGTTCATACACAGCCCCGCCTGGGCGAGGCAGCACGTGTACGAACAAGTGCTTTGAGACGTACGGACGCAGGGACGTAGAAGGGTTCTCAAAACACTTGTTCATACACAGCCCCGCCTGGGCGAGGCAGCACGTGTACGAACAAGTGCTTTGAGACGTACGGACGTAGGGACGTAGAAGGGTTCTCAAAACATTTGTTCATACACAGCCCCGCCTGGGCGAGGCAGCACGTGTACGAACAAGTGCTTTGAGACGTACGGACGTAGGGACGTAGAAGGGTTCTCAAAACACTTGTTCATACACAGCCCCGCCTGGGCGAGGCAGCACGTGTACGAACAAGTGCTTTGAGACGTACGGACGTAGGGACGTAGAAGGGTTCTCAAAACACTTGTTCATACACAGCCCCGCCTGGGCGAGGCAGCACGTGTACGAACAAGTGCTTTGAGACGTACGGACGTAGGGACGTAGAAGGGTTCTCAAAACACTTGTTCATACACAGCCCCGCCTGGGCGAGGCAGCACGTGTACGAACAAGTGCTTTGAGACGTACGGACGTAGGGACGTAGAAGGGTTCTCAAAACACTTGTTCATACACAGCCCCGCCTGGGCGAGGCAGCACGTGTACGAACAAGTGCTTTGAGACGTACGGACGTAGGGACGTAGAAGGGTTCTCAAAACACTTGTTCATACACAGCCCCGCCTGGGCGTGGCAGCACGTGTACGAACAAGTGCTTTGAGACGTACGGACGTAGGGACGTAGAAGGGTTCTCAAAACACTTGTTCATACACAGCCCCGCCTGGGCGAGGCAGCACGTGTACGAACAAGTGCTTTGAGACGTACGGACGTAGGGACGTAGAAGGGTTCTCAAAACACTTGTTCATACACAGCCCCGCCTGGGCGAGGCAGCACGTGTACGAACAAGTGCTTTGAGACGTACGGACGTAGGGACGTAGAAGGGTTCTCAAAACACTTGTTCATACACAGCCCCGCCTGGGCGAGGCAGCACGTGTACGAACAAGTGCTTTGAGACGTACGGACGCAGGGACGTAGAAGGGTTCTCAAAACACTTGTTCATACACAGCCCCGCCTGGGCGAGGCAGCACGTGTACGAACAAGTGCTTTGAGACGTACGGACGTAGGGACGTAGAAGGGTTCTCAAAACACTTGTTCATACACAGCCCCGCCTGGGCGAGGCAGCACGTGTACGAACAAGTGCTTTGAGACGTACGGACGTAGGGACGTAGAAGGGTTCTCAAAACACTTGTTCATACACAGCCCCGCCTGGGCGAGGCAGCACGTGTACGAACAAGTGCTTTGAGACGTACGGACGTAGGGACGTAGAAGGGTTCTCAAAACACTTGTTCATACACAGCCCCGCCTGGGCGAGGCAGCACGTGTACGAACAAGTGCTTTGAGACGTACGGACGTAGGGACGTAGAAGGGTTCTCAAAACACTTGTTCATACACAGCCCCGCCTGGGCGAGGCAGCACGTGTACGAACAAGTGCTTTGAGACGTACGGACGTAGGGACGTAGAAGGGTTCTCAAAACACTTGTTCATACACAGCCCCGCCTGGGCGAGGCAGCACGTGTACGAACAAGTGCTTTGAGACGTACGGACGTAGGGACGTAGAAGGGTTCTCAAAACACTTGTTCATACACAGCCCCGCCTGGGCGAGGCAGCACGTGTACGAACAAGTGCTTTGAGACGTACGGACGTAGGGACGTAGAAGGGTTCTCAAAACACTTGTTCATACACAGCCCCGCCTGGGCGAGGCAGCACGTGTACGAACAAGTGCTTTGAGACGTACGGACGTAGGGACGTAGAAGGGTTCTCAAAACACTTGTTCATACACAGCCCCGCCTGGGCGAGGCAGCACGTGTACGAACAAGTGCTTTGAGACGTACGGACGTAGGGACGTAGAAGGGTTCTCAAAACACTTGTTCATACACAGCCCCGCCTGGGCGTGGCAGCACGTGTACGAACAAGTGCTTTGAGACGTACGGACGTAGGGACGTAGAAGGGTTCTCAAAACACTTGTTCATACACAGCCCCGCCTGGGCGAGGCAGCACGTGTACGAACAAGTGCTTTGAGACGTACGGACGTAGGGACGTAGAAGGGTTCTCAAAACACTTGTTCATACACAGCCCCGCCTGGGCGAGGCAGCACGTGTACGAACAAGTGCTTTGAGACGTACGGACGTAGGGACGTAGAAGGGTTCTCAAAACACTTGTTCATACACAGCCCCGCCTGGGCGAGGCAGCACGTGTACGAACAAGTGCTTTGAGACGTACGGACGCAGGGACGTAGAAGGGTTCTCAAAACACTTGTTCATACACAGCCCTGCCTGGGCGAGGCAGCACGTGTACGAACAAGTGCTTTGAGACGTACGGACGTAGGGACGTAGAAGGGTTCTCAAAACACTTGT